AAATATCACATCTACTCAAAGAACCTTGCCTGCTAGGTTATTGCAGTTACAAAGAGTATAGATCAGCAATCACCAATGTGAAGGCAGCTCTTTTCTCTTGGGTGCCCTTATTTTCAAGAGATCCCCACAAATATGACAACATTGAGGCAGCTGCACTCCTCCTCAGTATGTTTCTTCAGTTACCGAGGAATCATTTAGACCTGCAGACTTAGCATGTTTAATTCTACAAAAAAAAAAAAAATCTTTTTTTGAGAACACGATGGTCAAATAAGGCCAAACATCTTGATCTAGCTTAACCACCGTACTTTAAGCTCTGGAACAAACCTTCACCACATGACAGATGTGTGACACAAAGTATTTGTTCTTTTCTTAAGTACAAGGAAAATAGACTCATGTTGCTCCTTTTTCTATTTAATGTCTGTGAGAGTGTGACCCAGTTTCCACCAACCAGGTGTGACCAAAGAAAACAGTGAGGCTATTGTGATTCAAGGAAGTGAAGAAAGTCAGGGATCTGTCATGGAAGGTTGGGTGATGATCAGAATATTTTGAAGACCATTATGTTTATTATCATACAGTTGTTTTCTTGTAAGTGAAAATGTAGTGAAGACCCATTGGACTCAACAGAAAATTGTCAATCTGAAAGGCTCTATATTTTTCACTTGGAGGAATTCCATCTTTCATAGAATCACAGAATCATAGAACTAGGGTCGGAAGGGACCTTGTAGATCTTCAAGTCCGACCCCCTGCCCGGGCAGGAGGAAAACTGGGCTCAAATGACTGCAGCCAGGTAGGCATCAAGCCGCTTCTTAAAGACCCCCAGGGTAGGAGCCAGCACCACTTCCCTTGGAAGTCGGTTCCAGATCCTAGCCGCCCTAACTGCGAAGTAGCTCTTATGGATGTCTAATCTACACCTACTCTCCAACAACTTGTGGGTTGTTGGAGAGTGCACAACAGGGCATTTCCTCTGGTGGGAGTGTGCACCTCCTGGGTTAACCTTGTGGGTTATCTTGGCCAGGAACCGCCTGGAACGGTCTGACCTGGCTGACTGCTCCTCCCAGCAGATGTCCGGGTAATTTAGATCACCCATGACAACTACATCCCTTGCCTTAAGTGCCTCTGCAAGCTGGCCTAAAAATTCCCGGTCCAGCTCCTCCCCTTGGTTGGGGAGTCTGTAGTAGACCCCCGCTGTTAAATCCCTCTCCCCACGACCCCCTTGTATCTTGACCCAGAGCACTTCAGCTTGCCCCTCCTCCGACCCCATTTTGCTGGCAGAGGATGTGTATTGCTCTTTGACATAGAGCGCCACACCCCGTTCCTTCCTTCCTTCTCTATCCCACCTGTAGAGCCTATAGCCCCTAATGCTAACTGCCCAGTTGTGGGATGAATCCCACCATGTTTCTATAAGCCCTACTGTGTCTGGGTTTGAACTGGCTACTCTGAGGGCGAGACCCTCCTGTTTGTTCCCTATACTACAAGCATTGGTAGTAATAAACCCAAGGCATTTAAGGCCTTGCATAGCTGCGCATGCCACCCCCTGATTAGGAAGACTATCTGGACCCCTGTTCCTTACCTGGGCACTCCTTGCACGTGTCACCTGTCTTGCTCGGGTGTCTCCACGTCTTCCTGCAGCCCCCTCCCCCAGCGAGGCTAGTTTAAAGCTCGCCGTATGAGATCAACCAACCTGGAAGAGAAGAAACTCTTGACCTGGAAGAGAAGACATGCTTGTGTCTTTGTCTATGGGTGAAAGATAAAGACAATGCAGCCATAACAAAAGCTAAAAAAACATATCTCAGAGTAAAGTCAATGGGGTCATCTGACCCCAGCCTTTTTCCTGCCTAGGCAGGGGGTCAGACTCGATGATCTGTTGAGGTCCCGTCTGACCCTAGCATCTATAAATCATCTATTAAACTATGAGATAAGAGATTTTAAAAAACTGGCTCAGATTCTTTGCAGTGGCCATTGTGGAAATACTGCACAAACCCCAGATAAGCTACAGCAGTAACCAGAAGGCCTAAAGAAAAAAGGAATTCTCTTCGATTTAACCCATAAATTCTGCATGGTGGATCTTACTAAACTAAGATCATTTTGTACACAATCTGAAGAGACAATATAGTTCCTAATTTATATATAAGACAGGGTAGCGGTGCACCTTAGAGACAAACTGAACCAGAAATGCATAACCTTTCATGAGCAACAGCTCAGTTCAGCAAATGCTGCTCTGCTTTATGTAGAGGAACTGGATGGTCAACATTTTTTGAATAACAGCAGTTTTCTTTGATTACATTTCTGAGATGTTCCTCTACATCCTGTGTCAGAGGTCCCTATTCAAGGTGTCTTCTCTTGGACTCAACTGTTGGCCTCCCCAGCATCATCCTAGCTCTGTCCTCCTCAGCTAACTTTGCACTTGGATGCATCCAACTCCAGGATCTTCTTTGAGGGTTGAGTTCTCCTCTCATCCCCAGATACTTTCCTGGTTGCAGCTGCCAACTCAACCTGCACAAACCAACCGCAGACTTAGCTGTGGGTTCCAGCCAATTAGAACTTAGCAATGAATCAAAAATCATCTGGAGCTGTTCTTTACACTGCCTTTGTTTGCAATCTGTCTCTGCTTCATTTTTCAGTGGCTTTGAATTTGTGGAGCTTTCTGCAGCTGAATGTTGAACTGAAGGTTAATGCTGCTCTGCCAGTTAATGAGCCACCAGGATTATAATGATGGCATCATGATCTGATTGTCACAAAAATAGATATTTATTTTCAGAGTAACTTGGCACATCTATTGATTTAAATGGGATATGTGGTGCTTAGCATGTCTGAAACCCTCACACATATAGTTACCCATGTGCACGTGCAGTAGTGTCTTGTGTAGCAAAGTTCTTGACATATTTGCTCCCTATTAGACAAAGGGAAACTAAAAACACGTCTGGCCTGAATTCAAACCCCCAAATGCAAAGACACCCATTCATTTCAGGACTTTAGCTCAGACCCTCAAGTCCTATATCTATTAGAAATGGATTCCCTTTGCATCATCTGACATGTCTTTCCTCAGGCTACTTTCATGCTATTTCCCAAATAGGAAAAATGTCAAGAAGAAAAGGGGTTTATTGGTAACTGGTATCCAGGTTGTAACCATATTGATCTAGAGAAAAAGGAAATCAGGACTCATAGTAGAGATGATATCTTTTATTAGACCAACAAGATTTTTGCAAAAAAAGTATTTCATTGCAAGCTTTCAGGCACAAACACCCTTCATCAGGCATTGGAGAAAAGATGGTAAAAGTTCTCCTGGGTAGAAATGAAAGTTCATAGGATTTCACAGAGGAGTCAATAGATGGAAAACCCTCTGGGCAGTCAGGTCATAGCTGGAGGCTGGTATGGAACCTCTCACTTCCCATGAAGATCTGTGAGGATGCAAATTACCTTGAAACAAAGGCAGGAACAGGATCTCAGGTTTCAGGTGGTCACAGTTGTTTCCTGCTTGGGAAAAGATGCCTGATGAAGGGTGTTTGTGCCCAAAAGCTTGCAATTAAAGATATATTTTATTTGCAAAAATCTTATTGGTCTAATAAAAGATATCTCTACTATGAATCGTGATTGCCATTATTGGTAACTGCCACTTGCATCTCCTCTCTGGTTGGTAATACTCATTAACCAGCACTGTGAATTGACAAGGTAAGCACTGAGCTACCACAAGAAATGGGGGGTCCTTATATGACGCTGCCTGTGAATGCACCAACGGGCCCAGTCCTCTGAGATACGGTTGCTACTGGTGTGAGAAGGGCAAACAGGAATCAGCCTATGTAGCTCTGAGTCTCAAAGGAGTCTATGGGAATCGGGCACTTGCCAACGAAAATGGGTAAGACTTCAATGCCTTACATTTTCCATCATCTTGAAAACCACTGTATTACAGCAGGCCCAAACAAAGATTAAATGAGCTTTCAGCGAGGGGTGTTGAGTGAATTTGATTTCCTTCAAGAATCATACTAAGGTTTCAGATTTGTTTAGAGTTCACCAAAATTTTCTGCCATAGAAGCCCCATGGACTTTAATGGTAGTAGTCTTATTTGAAAGTGCTGAGCATGTTGAAGTGTCCCATTCGCAATTCCCTTCTTAGCTATAAATGTCACCCCACTTCACAGTTCAGTCAGTACACACAAAAAGTAATTTGCTGAACTTGGTATGTGCCCCATTGCATACAGGACACAGCTATACGCACAATTAATGAGAAGCAATAAACTGCTAAGTTTATTGCTCCCAGGCATGCCATTTGAATGCATGCCCAAGAACAATAAACTTTGGAGCAATAAACCCCACAGTGAGTGTACTGTCATTTGAGCATGCCCTTGGGAGAAGAGCATGTTGAGCCAGGTCAGAGCAGCTGCTGCTGGCAGAAGACCCGGGGGGTCAGCCTGCCAGATCAGGGCTGCTCTCCCCCCCAGCTCAATGAGCTGTAGAGGGGCTGCTTGGGGCACACCGGTGTTTCAGTGTGGGGCCAGGCAGGAGGCAGCCCCCACACTGAAGCATCCTCATGCCCCAGCCAGCCAGGGTAGTGTCTACACATGTGCTGCTGTGGAGCTTTTTACAAGTACTATCCTACTGCAGAGCAAATTCGTTTACTGGAGACTAACAGGGGCGCATGTGTATAAGCCAAGAGATTGACGGCACAGCTAATTAATCTACTGCACAGTAAATGTCTCATGTAGACACACTAACAAATTGCTAACCAGATAATCTTCCAGCCAAACCAGAGCGTGGGACTTGAGCCAGGAGCATAAGGGTCTCAGACAGGTCATCAGACTTCTCTGAGGCATGTTACACAGATCTATTTGAAACGCCAAGTACCCTCTTAACTTGTGTGTGTGTGTCTTGTAGCAAATGTTCAGCTCTGAATGGTCATTAACAAGTGAGGAGGGAGGAGACAACATTATTTTGCAATCCCAAAACAGTTTAAAGTACACAAAATGTTTGCATAGTGGCCTCCAGGCTTCAAAGTGCACCCAGTAGTCTGCCAACAAACACTTTCTCTCAGGCCTTGCAGTTTTACCTCTTCAAGCAGCTGCTTGCTTAAGAGAAATGGATTGGCCCGATCCTATTTTCATATTTCTGGGCTTTATCCTGACTGTTCTGTCTATTATGAAAATTGGGAGTTTCTGGAACAGCAGCATCAGAGAGGATTTTCCCCCAGGACCCAGGCCCTTACCTATCATTGGAAACCTGCACATTATAGACTTGAAAAGACCCTATCGCACTCTCCTGAAGGTAAATCTTTATTTTCTTGCCCAGACCAATAAGCCACCCTACCCCTAAAGAGAAAAGGCTAAGGCAGAAGGCTAAGGCACAGACAGAACTAGGACTAGCGACCAGGATCAAAGGTAACAAGAAGTCCTTTTTTAAATACATAGGGAGTAAAAAGAAAGCACTGGGTAACATGGGGCCCCTGCAGGACATGCTTGGCAATCTTGTGGTTGCACCAGATGATAAAGTTGACCTTTTTAACAAATTCTTTGCCTCCAATTTTCTGAGCAGGGACAGGGACATCCCCCCCACTAGGATCCTGGATGGACTCAGAAAAGGCAGCACCAGGCCTTGGATCAGTGAGGACCTAGTCAGGGAACTTCTGGTGGGGCTGTACGTGTTCAAATCCACAGGTCCAGATGATCTCCAGCCCAGGGTGCTGAGGGAATTGGCAGAGGTTATTGTGGGACCCCTAGCACGGCTTTACAAGCACTTGTGGTACTCTGGCCAGGTGCCAGAGGACTGAAAAAGGGTCAATGTGGTCCCCATTTTCAAAAAGGGGAGGAAGGAGGACCTGGGAAACTATAGGCCCATTAGTCTTACCTCGGTCCTGGGGAAGCTCTTTGAGAAAATTATCCAGGAGCACATCTGCGAGGGACCAGCAGAGGAGATTATGCTCAGGGACAACCAACATGGGTTCATTAAGGGCAGGTTCTGTCAGACCAACCTTGTGGCCTTCTATGACCAGGTCACAAAATCCTTGGATGCAGGTATCACTGTGGACGTAGTCTTTCTGGACTTTAGGAAGGCCTTTGACACTCTCTCTCACCCCACACTCATTAAAAAATTAGGCAACTGTGGTGTCGATGCCTACACCATCAGATGGGTTGCAAATTGGCTGGAAGGTCGCACCCAGAGAGTGGTGGTGGATGAGTCAGTTTGACCTCGAGGTACGTACGCAGTGGAGTTTCCTAGGGCTCGGTCCTTGGGTCTGCACTGTTTAATATCTTCATCAGCGACTTGGACAAGGGGGTGAAAAGCAGCTTGTTCAAATTTGTGAATGACACTAAGATGTGGGGAGAAGTGGGCACGCTAGAAGGGAGGGACAGGCTACAACTAGATCTGGACAGGTTACAGGGGGGTGCAGATGAAAATAAGATGGGATTCAATACTAACAAGTGCAGGGTACTGCACCTAGGGACGAAGAACCAGCAGCATACCTATAGGCTGGGGGACTCCCTTCTTCTTCGT